TTCGACATTAAGATTGTTAAGTATAAAGGAAGCAACAACTTATATTTAATTTTAAATGTATCAATTGGTTTGTTAGAATATTTACAAATAACTTGAATATTCACCTTGACGACTTCGCTGTAATACTCGATGTTCAAATTTCATATATAGCAGGATACCGATTACTTGTAATTTTAAGATTTCATTTATAATGTTCACTATATAAACAATGGTATAGTTTTCTCTGGCTTGTTCTGCAAGTTTTAAAAATGATTGAAACCATATATTAATATTTGGAATACGAACATTCGTCTACATACTTATCATCTAAAAATATCAATGCGTGATAATAAAATAAAAGAGCACGACGAATAAATGTTTTTGTTTTTTGATTGAATTACCCTAAATTTGCTTAAATTACCAGTCCAGAAGCCTGTATTCTTGTGCTGATATTTAATGTTCAGAAAATATCAAAATCATTCGATATACCTTGCATAAAGAGCCTTATTCAAATTTGAAAAAAAAAATATAGTTTTTTTTTCAGTGCTTTTTTTAAAGGTTCTAAATGGATTTGGCCTTACAGCTGTTTTGATTCGAGTGTCATTGATGAATCGGATGCAGGCACTTCATGCGTTTGGTATACACAATTATATACCTGGTAACTTTGAATATTTTTTTTTTATACCACACCAAACACCCAAAGACCTTAAAATCTTCAAGAAATGAGCATGAATAATGACAAACAAATGCCTTTTTTCAAAATGTGAATCTCAAAAGGATAACGTATATCATCTTCATATGATAAAGTATTTGTATATTTAAGAGCTTTGTTCACGATACAAGTAATAATAATAGGATAAGACAGACTGCATTACAAAGGGGCTAAACAGGTGGAATATCAGTTAATAAATGCTTGCATAATTAAACAGGAGCACATATAAGACACCAAAAAGGCCTGCTTCAATAGAAAACATTTCCAGTAAAATCACCAGCAATTGCTTAAAAAATCAATCGGGAAGCATGATTAATTACTTGAAAGTCGATTGCTATTTTCTAAGACTTGTCCCTTGATTTTATATGAATATGAAGTGAATTTAAAGATAACTGATTAAGGTAATATATAGAAATTCGAAGTGTTTTTCTTTCGAATTTGCACATGAATATTTTTTGCATAAGATGGAGCCATTTTGGTAAACCTTGTAGTTATTTTGTAATGCAAAGCATTTATAGTATCCCATTAGTCAAACATTTTCATTCCGTCGGTCATTTGTGGAGTTCATTAATATCAAGTCAAGATGTAGTATGATTGGGAACGCGTCAACTACACTTTAACAAACCATAGACAAGTATGTTAACTTCCACCACTTACTGAGCGGTTTGTAAAAGTACCAAAACTATTACCGTATGGTATGTTTTTTTAAATGTCTCAGGATAAAATAATGTGATAAAATCAAACAAGAAATGTGAAGGCATAATTTAAGCTATTATTTTAAAACGAAAAACAATCATGAAAGACAAAGGCCATCAACAACCACTTGACTACACACTGCCGGAATACAACAAGACAACAAAGAAAGTAATATGCCAAACATGTATGTTACAGTTCAACTCTTTTCAAAACCTGGGACGACGTAGTTACTGCAAAAAGAATAACAACTAAGTTAAAAAAAACTTAGAGCAACAGTTCACAACTGAAAGCACAAATTAAAACAAATGACTAAATTCAAAAATACACAATATACCAATGTAATAGTACACACATCTACTGAAAGCTTGTTTAATATAGAACGTCAACTAATTGATAGAACGATTTTTTTCTGACAAAAGTATTATCCAGTACATCAAAACGCAATTTTGTGTTGAATCTTGAAAAACACACGGAAAATAAACAAATCCTATTCGTAGACCCTTTGGTCATTATTTGAATGACAATACAAAATAGTTCCTTCAAGGTATTATTCGAATATCTGGTCGGTTTAAACTCACAATAGATACTATATTTCAATGTTGTACACCATACACGCGTTTCGTCTAAACAGACTCATCAGTGGTTAATCAAAAAAGTTTTTAAAAAAGCCAAATAAAGTACAAAATCGAATGATATTACATCTTTTTTTCTCCTCTGACACCAGCGATACCCGTCATAGAGTTCTAAAGAGAAATCTCATTTGTTCATTTAATATGATCAAAGTTAGTCGAATGAAACGTATAATCGTTTGACTGCATACATTTTTGATTATGCTAACTCTTGAAGTAGGAAGATATCGTAATGATTGTAATCTGCTATACAAAGACATTTTTGGGTAAAAATGTGACATTCAATCCAAAACTAAAAACATACTGATAATGTCCAAAGTGTACTTATGTATACAAAATCCAAGGAATCTTAAACACACTGATTCGTCAATTTTAAACAGAATATCTGTTCGTCTAGAATTTTAATTGAATTGAAAATCCGAATTGCTGCGTTTTTTATGATACTTACATGTAGAACTCATAAATAGGTATTTATTAAAATTTTGAAAGTAAAATCAACGTATGCAGCACCGGTACGATAATGACAATATCCTGATAAAGTTTCAACTATAACGGAACTCAGCACTTCAGAATAATATTTCCATATACAAATACATGTATAAATAATTATGATTATTTGTTAGTTAGAGTGCATCCTGTACATGTATTACGAAAAGTCAATGAGAACATTTCCATATAGAGGAAATTGTACTTTAATGCAACCGTATGATACCGATAAAACATATCGTTTTCAGCTGATCATGTTGTTTCAGGAAACTAATTTTTGCGAAGAAAAATATTAAACATATTTAAAAAAAAAAAAAAAAAAAAAAGTTCTATTAGTTAGTGATTCTGGTATATGTACATTATTGTGAATATTGAAAAGTAATATTTTATTTTGATACATGTATCAATGATTACGTTCAAGCCTAAAGCTTTTAATATTAACAAAAACATAATTTGTGAACATAAAAAGAAAAATAATAAAATTATAATCGTGAAAGTAGAGCCACATGATACTGACTAATGAACTAAATTTTAATAAACATCTTTGAAGGGAAAACGGTTAGGGAACTATTTCAGAATGCTTTGAAATTTTTTCGTTTAACAGCATGAAGCAGTTCTCCAAAAAATTTCTTTGACGATGTATAATAATCAATTCAAACAAAAAAAATTTCAGGTATGAAATTTCCTGATTAGTAGTTTTTACCAATTTATAATCCTGATATCTTTTTTTGATTTGTTAAATTTTTTTCTTCGGATTGAGCAAATACACTGCATAAGCAATGACGAATTTATCATAAAGGGTCTGAACTTAATTATAGATCATATACATTTTCTATGGATATAAATCTAAAAAGTTAATAACAATATATATTTCAAACTAAAAAATAAATTCATCAGAGATACCAGACTTATAGTTTAGTACGCCAAACACTACTCGAATACACATTCGATGCCAGTGTTTTAACAGTATACGTGTGACACTAGAATAGATATATACTGACCGTTTGAAATTACATGCTTTATTTATCATGAATGTAAGAGAACGACGGAAGGCATACGAAAACAAATATCCTTGTATGAACGAAACAGGTTGCACTTTCCTTTATGCACATCTTTTTAGGAATAGCATTCCTTTATGTCTTGACTTTATTCTGGTGAGAAATTCAAGGTATGCAATTGTAACGTATTTTGTGTCGGCCATTTTTAATGTTATCTATGATTAAATGAATGACTTTCATATTGTGCGCGTGTATATATTAGTTTGTGTGTGTCTATGTTCTTATTCTAAATCATACCACATAATATATTTGTATACTTAGGCGGATGAGGTCATAATTAAAACGATAGAATTTTCAAAAATTTGTCAAAATGTAGTGTTTAACATTTTCTTTTCAAAAATACATGAAATGTTTGGATAACGGAGCTTTTTTAGAGCTACATTTTGTCAATGTGAATTGAAAAAAATAACATAAACGGTCAATTTATTGTAAAATAAGGGAAGGAGGATTTGTGCTTTTAGGAAATAAAATAGAAAATTGGGTCAAGGAACTCATTTTCTGTTCACAAATTCAAAAAAAGTAAATTTTCTGTACATTCCTACACAAAATAGTTTAACAAAGTTATCACCCCTTGTATGGTTATAGTTAAAGACTGAACAACACGAACCCTATCAAAAACCGGGATAGAACTCATGTGCCCAAGAAGCAGTTCCTTTTTTCTCATTTGAGTACAATCTGGTGATAAGACTAATTCATACAAGATCTAAACTGATAGTTTTCTGCTTTTTTATAATCAAGATTGAGGAAGACATCCGATCTACCTTAATCAGGGAAAAAATGGTGAAAACTAAAACTGTGTGTATAGATCTTCAGTTTGCTTGCTATACTTTAGCGGGCGTTGACCTATTTAAAGAAAATATCGGGTTAATTAAAAGTAATTTATGATTAATTCACTGAAACAGCTATCCAACGACACCTATTACTAAAACACATCTACAGGGAAACACACAGTCTTAAGCAACTGATTAAAATATGTTAATTTGGAAAAAGTACAAGCTTAGTTGTCCTGCTGCTTTAGTCTTTTGCTTTTTTCAGAACGTATCCTTTGTTTTCAAACAAAAGCATACATTGCGATTGATCGTTGGTGGTTATGATATGTTTGTATTTACGAGTATTTACTTTTATTTCTGCACGATTATGCAGAATATGACTTGATAACGGTTTTTTTTACAAATAAATAACATGGAGAAAAAAAAAGAAACGATAATGAAACATAGAACAATGCTGAGTTCATTCTTTTAATTTGAAAGTATTAAATTTACTTATAAAAGGTAAACATGTGAATTGATTTCTTATACCACTTAACAAATGTTTTAACTACTTGTGATGTAATAATTTAATTACGGTACGCATTAATAAACGATTATCTGAAATACCCAAATTACGTTCGCACGAGACATTAGGTGTCAGAAGTCAAATATATAAAAACAATACAACATGTAAAAGACAAAATTTTACTAAAATAACATCAACAATACATACACTGTATAGTCTAAATTGTCTACAACTAATTTTGTCTGAGAGAATTTCAACACTAGTAAAATACAATTGAATATTCTTCTATTAACAATGGTAAATCACAAAAGTGATTCAGTAGTGGTCACACTATTTATGCACCAGATCATTCCGTATTTACAGTGGAAGTATATTAATTCTCTTTACGATCAAATTTTTCAGGGAAAATAACCGTAACCAAACATATTTGCATGTAGATTATGCATATTTCTTCTGTAAAGGTTACATATTTAGCAACAATTGCAATATCACTTTTATCTGTATATATTTCCATTTGGTCTGAACAAATCCTCACATATTTATCATACACAAACCTGTCTTAGCATTTTGTAATTATTACTTTCGATTTCTAATATGAAAGAAGCTTTACAGAGAAATTTGAAATCTGTTTTCAATTTTTTATATCGGTCATGGTTATGACTATGAGGACGTATCAATTCACTATCGTTAACATATGCCCCTGCACTTCCGCCGTTGATTCCGGAAGTTTCATCATCTGAGTTCATCTCATCATTTTCGTCATCGGTATCATCCTCAGATTGTCTTAGTTCAAGAATTGCGCAATCAAGTTCTTGCAGAATCGATTCTACCTTTAACTGTAGTTCATTAAAATCTGTCTGGTCGTCCAAAAAACGGGTTTCATTTTTATGAACGTGTGCGAGGTATTTTTGTACTTTTGATATATGTTTCCTCGATTTCTTGTACAGATGTCCAAGCTAAGAGAAAGACAAATAATTATTAATATATTTCAGATTTACAGTAACTGTTTCCTCAATTATATTTGACTACAATATTTTGTTTCTGTCTCTGTATTTTCATAAGGATTTTAAAAATGTCAAAACTATTTCAATAATCAATATTTCTCTGAACGTTCAAGTATCACATTGGAAAATAATACCCGAACAAATAGACATCTAGTAGTTGATGTGGACTTGATTCAGCTAAGTATGAAATAATAAAATTAAAAACTTCTTGGTCAAATTTCCGACAAGGTATAAGAATTCCAAATAATTCTTTGACAATGTAAAATATTCATTGTTTGCTTTTAATTTCATTTTACAATTGATTAATTCCTGTATTACTTATCTTGCTATGGCAAATATTTCTTGAATATATTGTTTTCATAGCACATACAAAAAGTCAATTCAACCATGTTTAGTGAATGCAAGTACAGTGATTTCTTTCTAAAGCTATTATTTACCCATTTCACCTTAGCAAATATTTATTGAAAACCATATATGTTTTAACAATAAATTTGATCAATTAATTATGTTAAGTGTTATTTCATTTGAATACGATGGCCATTGAAAGTATCAACTTGACATTCAACTTTTTAAACTGAATCCACATGGATATTTTTTTTCTCTGCGTGGAAATCCTCGAGATCGGCTGACTTTTCTGTTTTGTTTACCGTTATGGAATGTCACAGATAACTACGGATATGTTCCAGTTGTCCTAATCACAATTCTGTCCTCATTCCCCCGATTGTGATATCAACGAAATTCCAATGTGACTTATCATCACATTTGTACAAACCATGAGAACAGTGATAGTGATAAGTGGAGCAAGAGCTGATTACCCTTCCGGATCGGTTGATAATTATCAATTTTAGTGTTGGATTCGAGTTACTCAGTCATAAGTTTTTTTTATGTAGTGTTCTGTAGACTTGCTTGTCTTTTCGCCTTCGTTCGCTTTCTCTTCGGCTTATGAGTTTTGAATGCCCCCTTGGTACTTTCCGACTCTTTTATTTCATTGAGCATTCATCCATTATTCATTCACTTCACTTCTTCGGTGTTCTATTGGTATCAATAAAATTTTCTAACAATACCATGACTAACGTTTTGAACCAGACCGTTCGATAGTTTGACATTATGTTTATATGTTTTTCAGTATTTGTCATCAGCATTTCTATACTGCAAGCTGCACTTTAATTCTCATTTATTTATTACTTTTCTAGATATAATTAAGATATTAAGTCCTCGCTTTTGTGAAATATTTTAACAGTGAGTTAATAATGTTAATGTTATATGCAATCAATTCGGTTATTAACTCATTCGGCAAATTCAGCCAAACTATAACTTAAAATTCTGTATTTGAATAGATGTATTGACTTGACAATATATAATATCAAATTAATATACATTGAAGTCAAAGTTCAATACACAAAGTTGACAAAACTTCATGTATCACAAATTTCAATAACTACTTGAAAGTTATGGTATCAAAATATGAACAATACAATTCAAATATAAACTTACCCTGTGAATTGAATGACCGGCAGTTTCCCTTGTAAATCGCTTGATCTTAATCTCACTCCTGACATTGTACTGAATGTGGGAGATCATTCGATCACTCTGTATCTTCTCTCTTCCCTTGAAATGAAACCGTTACAGTGTAAAATATGTTTGCAATAAGAAATATACATCTGTCTTTTTTTCCCTCAAAACACAGTTATAATAGGGATGAAATGGATTTTGGATCTGTTTAGTTATGCAAAAAAAATATAAACGAGAATTATTTTTATTCACAATGGTCATCCCCTGTTTCAAACATAAAAGCAGAGCTATGACATCATGACTTTATACTGATTTATGTATATTCCCTTTAGTGAAATGGTTGGGCTTGATCAGTCCTGATGAAGCAAAACAAAGAAAGCACTTCGGACGATTACAACTTCATTACTATTATTTTTATTGTTGTAAACCAATTTGATATAAATCACAAGCGTCGTCAACAAATTTACTGTTAGATAGTGAAAAAATGATATAAGTTAGTTCTCCTGTAAGTATAAACATTAAGTTGTATTGTATATTATTTCTCCACAGGTTTGTTGGGAACTGTAAACATGATATGAAATGTAATCTTTCTACATGCATCAGCCTGAATTTTGGAATTTGTTGTCGGTAACACTTATGTGGTTTAAACCAATAGATATATTTTACTTAGTTTCTGAGAAAACTTGAAATGTTCCTTAGATGTGCTTTCTCCTGTATACAAATTCAAAATTTTAATGATACAACTCAGAACCTAGTACTCCCTTTTTTTTTTTAGATAAATGCAGAAACAATTATAGTTATTAGTTTACAAATTGTTTTTACTTATGCCATCTTGATTTGAGATGTATCTTTCAATTCGTTGAAATGCATTTCTGTATCAAAATTCATTGTTTAATCAATCTGACGTGAAAGCCAAACACACGTATACGATATGTACATCATACTTACAAATTTATCCCGTAGTGTGTCCGCATAATCGTTTCCTTCCAAGAGTTTAACTTTTAATCCTTGCAATGTTTCGGAAACTGGTATCCTTGGTCTATTGTTACTCATTATTGTTATGTTCGAATTTATCCTGTTTTGTGAACAGTAAAACACATTGTTAAGCAACAAACATAAAATGAATAGTAATGCTTTTCAAAAAACATACAATTTCAAGTTAACAAGACGGCGCCGTAAATTAAATGTTTTTAAATCTCGTATACACAAACGAGAATATGTGGTATGATTGCCAATGAAGCAGCTATCAATCAGAAAATAAACAGCTATAGGCCACCGTATGGTCTTTGACAATAAGCAAACCTCATACCGTATAACCAGCTTTAAAAGGTCCAGCAATGAAAAAATGTGAAACTTATCAAATGATATAAAAAAGCAATCCTGATTTATGTGCATAGCACATAAAACAAACAGCAAACAACGACAACCTCCGAATTTCAGGCAAATGTTTTGGTGTGAAACATGTGTGTGAGCTCAACCACCCGCATAACCTTGAACAGTAGTGTAAAAAGCACAAACAAAACATCAAACTGTAAACATCACTAGGAAAGGGTTCGACTCATTAGATCAGCATAGCTCAACAAATGGTACAAATTACGAAATACCGATTATAAAGTATTCGTAGGAACCAAAACATTTTAAAAGGCAATGTCAACTGATAATAAATCATGTTTTATAAGATGAAATATAAATCAGTACACATCTAACAGTTTAACTGTAAAGATATCATAAACAGAATGAGATATAGTTACCTTATACAATTCCAAAATATTAGAAACGATAGGATATAGGAACATATGTGTTCAAAACTATATGACAATTCATGTATGATTAATATACTTCGATTTTGTTTTAACTAAAACATTTATAACTGTTAGTACCGCTATGATAATATTCGATGATGTCACTATTGTGTGAAATTGATAACTTTTGGAAATAAATTTACAGTCTCATTAAACAACATCACAGTAAAAAATAAGATTAGATATTTCGTTTGTATAAAGGTATCTTAAGGTACAGCGTAGCTACCAAACTAATACAGTGTATCTATAAAAGATATCAGCAAAGATTTATAAAAATTGGCTTTTAAATTTTTAGTTTAGAAGTTCATGATAAAGTTAAACGCGGAAAAAGCGCTTTGTGTCAAAGTGAGATAAAATCTACAAATTATACATAATTGGCAAAAGTTTTCGATTTTTTTCAGTTTTAAAGGCTCTTTAACTTCGTATTTGATCAAATTCGTAAACCACTTATGTGTTTTATGTGGATGGAACACGCGTCTGTCATACCAAATCATAAGCCTGGTATCTTTGATAGGTAAATTTATAGATTACGTGCATTTAAATCTTTAACATCACTACAGATACTGGCATAGCGAAGAGCGGGGAAAAATACACACCGTGTAATTCACTTTGATTATACTAAACAAATTGCAAAAAACGAGGGAATCATATGACAACCTAACAGATCGAAGTCAGAATGCTTGCGTATGTTAATTGTTCCTTATCAAGCTTAAACATATATTTAAAAAAAAATGAAACAGATCCAATAACTTAACCATTAATAACTTACAACTAGTTCACTGTAAAGGTTTTCGTCACTAAGAAGACGGATACCTAGTGTTATATAGTTTTCAAGCGATGGTAAACCCAATAGAAATGATTCCTCTTGACGTATAGAAAAAAAGGAATTTCCAATATTTAACACGTTAACATCATAATTTGTTGTAATGACAGGATTACTGTAAAATAAATGAATTTAAACTATACATAGACATAACGGACAATAATAACATGAATAAGTCCAGTTAATACTAGATATTTGATTTGAATAGGAAATTTGGGATCTCCATTTGAGTACAGTACTTCACAATAAGGGGAAGTTGTGGCTTAATACATTATCGTGTTAAGTATATGAGGATGAACTGCTACAAAATGTAGGAAGTATCAAAATAAATCGGTTACAGAATATCGAACAAATTTAGGAAATAAGATTCAGAGGATAGTTCAGTACAATCTTTTAGACACATTACATCAGCTTCCAAAGGAATGTAAGTAATCAGGCGACTTGAAATACTTGATGTCTGCAGTGTAGAAAACTTTTATTTTGGAAAATGAATTTGGATACCTTATTTAATGTTCACAAAAAAAAATACATTCACTGAAAGGAGTTTGGATGTCAAAATGAGTTATTGTAACATTCAGTTAAATGTCTTTGAAAATGTTGATGTATACATTTGCTTCCAGTTTGATTTTACCAGGGGAATATGACACTCTTTGCGTATTTTGGTTGTTTTAATCTGTTTTTTTGTTGAGTAAACCCCACTGTGTACTTTTCAAATCCTCTTTGGGTCATTAGAGGTTAAAGTGTTCATTTAAAACTTCGATTACAAACGTGAACAAAGGCAACTATTATTTGGTTGTTTTACAATTTATAATTTCCTCACCGAATTTTATTAGGTATTCAAAGCCTGTTGATGTACAAATGATTGAATAATGAAACAACAGAAAGTTATTTTCCATAATGCCGATATAACAGTCACTAGAAAATTATCAAAAGTAAGAAACATGCTTACAATGTTTGCAGCCAAGCCAACATAAAATAGTGATACAATTTTCTCATCTCGCGGTTTTATGAGAACATGTGTGGAACATGTACAAATTTAATTTTATTCGAAGTGTTAAGTTTCATGATGGAAAATAACTTAGTGTATTTCCCATGTAATTTTGATGAACGATTTTGCAATATAAATTGTATTTGTATAATGTATGATTAGGATCAATAAATACATAAAGGATTATAATTGAATGGGTTACAAGTGTTCATGTGCAGGTAATTTATGATTTTGATAAAATGTCGTTTCTGTCCAGAATAAAGAAACAAAAATGTTTCAACGGCAATTTATCGAAATTTTATTTGAAAAGGAACGTGTGTCCTACCTGAGCTAATTATTAAAGGTTTGTTTATCTATTTTTAAAGTCAAATGTGTGTAATTTAATGTTCTTGTCAGAAACAATATTACCCACGGGCAAAGTCCCGAACTTTATCCGTTTGGTTTTTAATCCCCAATAAACCAAATTATCATACGGTAATTAACAACTTGTAGTTATTTCCCATAACCAATTTCGGTCAATTTAAAAAGGAAAATACTTACTGATATTCTAAAGATTTTATTATTTATTTAATCAAAATACTTTTCTATTTTATTTCAAAATCGCATTTTATGTTAACATGTTTATCGGAAGTCAACACTATACTAAAATTGCAGAACATAACCGGAAATAAACATCCGACTTAAAACACATTTCTCGGTATTATTCTTCGTTGAATTCTTAAATTCAACGATTGCTCTGATTCACAAAACTCACGAAAATTGTTATACCACGAACAAAAATTGAATCTACAGTAAATGTATGAAAAACATCTGAAAATCATCATCATCAATAATCTTCAACATCATACTTTATCGGGCATTCTTAATTTTTTTGGGACTAGCGTATTTGGTGAGTCTTTTGTAGAAAAAAGGCGCGTCCAATGTACAAAGTTGAAAGCTTGGTACTTTTTTAACAACGACAATGTCAAGAAGAGATAATAAGTTAATTACTCATAATCACAATTCTTTTCAACATTAGACAATCAATGATTTCACATTGATAAATTTAAGATTCAATGATTTAAAAATTATACATTTATGATTCAATGCAAGTTGTCACATAACATGATGATTGAGTCCTTTCGTACATGTATTAGGAAAAGAATCATCGCAGCGAAGGTGGCGTCAAATTGAATTGAAAGACACAAACACATGGGCTGTGAAGCTTTTTTCAGTATATTGTCTTCACTATGGCAAAAAAGTAAAACGCCCACAAGACTATACTGCTATTCATTAAACTTACTTTACTGTCAGAGTCGAATTGTTTTCAAATGACCATAACCAAAGTGAACATAGCATTTGGAAGATTCATTAGAAGGTCAATTAAAATCCTAGTCTGTGTTGCTGGTTTTATTATTTCTTCTCTATCGGCAATTGTTACAATACATCTGAATATCAGCTCATCTCAGACATTCTTGTCGAGTATTGTAACAAGTAAGTATATCAGTATAGAAACGTTTAATCTCTTAATTATCTAAGTATAGAATAAAAATCTAGATGAAAGAAAAACATAAGGGTAAGCGTAATATCTAAATGTTTTCATTTCTAAAAGTGAATTAAGTTTATTGGTTTAGTTAGGTAGATGTTTTAAGGGTAAGCATTATACGATTCATTGTCACTTCTGAATTGTATTATAAATAATGCATGCATTTACTTGTTGGCAGGGAAAAACATTTTCCTATTAGAAAATGTTAAAAAAGGAGATTTTACGTGCATTCATTTAAAGGATTCTTCGATACGAAATGATAAATACATTGATTTAATTGTCTTTTCCGAAATTACTTTAAGTGACCTTGAATATCGTTATACATGGTCGAATATTTTAACTGATATATAGTAACCAGAAACATCAATAGTTATGCGGTTTTAGTTTTCCTAATTTTAATTGAAGAGATTTTTACATGTACGCAGTTAATTTAAGGAATTTCCCCCTCTCATACATGCTGCGCATCATGTGTATGAAAAACCCTGACAATTAATCGTGGCGGATTGAAAAATATAAGAGAAACGGATGTTAAGATAAATTTTTTTTCATTTCCATTGTTAAGATTGTTTAACAACCCGGAAGATACTAAGTTTCAAAAAATGCTTCAAGGCATAAAATAATGACGTTTATCGTGTCATTATTAACCCCGATTATGATACAAACTTCTGTTTGTTAAAATGTCCTTTGCTAGTAGTCGTGTGTTTTTGCCAATTGGAGTTTTTTTTATACAATTTTCCACCTGAAATGTTCCTTAAAGGACTTAGCTATAGGCAGAAACATAATACTCCTTTACCCCATTTATTAGTTTTAAATACTATTACCAGAACACGCAATTCTATGAGATAACATTATATAAATAACACATAGCTGAGAGGGTGATAGATCAGATTGTTACCCCGAGAAAACATTTTCAACTGTGGCGAAGCAGAAGTTGACAATGTCTTTCCGAGGGGTAACAATCTGCTCTATCACCCTCTCAGATATTTGTTATTTAATTTATTATACTGAATGTTCTGTTATTACTGTCTATTAAATTTCAAATTCAAAGTAATAAACTATGTCGTCTTGTACATAACAATTATCCGTATTTATTAAAGCGCACACTTGATCAAGCGTCTCCGTGAAGGTTAATAGAGTATTTTCCATGGGATAGAGTAAATTGTCTCCCTCGTATTAACCAATCAAAATCTGACAGTTTGACATGAAGTATAATAATATATAATATTCTATCCTGATTCTCATTTTGTTTTAAGAAATACTGTATTGCTAAGTAAAAAAGAGAAGTGGTTCATTGATAATGCTTTTTCGTGGTACAAATGTCATAAAACCAGAGAAAAAACATACCCCCATTTTTTTTAATAAATTTAATATAATAAATTACTTACCAAGTGACTTGTATATTTCATATATCGAAACAATTGTTATATTTCTTGCTTTATGAAGTTACAGTAAAATTAAAAAAAAATATATAAAATTTCTAAGTTAACGTTATTTACATTTATATCTAGATTAGTGAGTTTCATTTCACCTGATAGTTTTGCCGTTGGGCGTTGTTATACATAAACGCATAGGAAAGGAATATCCAACTTTAATGTGATAGGTAAAATGGGATGCAATGTCCTGCAGAAAATAATATTTTTTGACGGTTTATAAGTCATTACCTTGGGGTGTCAGGATTGTCCAAAGAAAGACCTCCCTTTGGTCGGTCTTTCATTTGAACCCTCGGTGTGTTATACGACAGAAAAATCCAGGTTTGCTTTTCAGTAAAAACATCTATTGGATGTTCCTTTAAAATCCATTTACAGGGAATATTTGCATTGTATGTTCTATTTCAATTAGAAATAAAAATGATAAACTCTTCAAAGATACCAGGCTAATAACTTTGTACGCTAGACGTGCGTTTCGTCTCATCAGTGAAGGTAGAAAAAAATGATGAATGGCCCAAATCAAGAACGATATAAAAAGCTAATTTTACTTCTAAAATAAGGAGAGAATTCTTTTCATTAGTTTAAAGGTACTGGCTAAGAGATGTGATATCCTTAAAATTCTACACCCTTCAGAACATTTGAGTTCGCCCCTGTTTTCGTTTTAAAAGTGTTTTTGTTGCTTTTGCCGTCGTGGTCATTCCTGAATTTTTCAATGTCTTATTGTTACTTTCTTTGAAAATCCTGCTTTTTACTTTCACATTTGGTTTGTGGGTTATAGAACTTGATGATGTATTTTACTAAAATTAGGAACAATTACCGATGTGCTGATACCACAGGGACATCCTAACAAACAAAAAAACTGACAATGTCATTCCAAAAAAAAAAACGAAAAACGATGAAAAGACAAACAACAGAACACAAAACACAACATAGAAAAACCAAAGACGGAGCAACACGAACCCAATCTAAAAAACGGAGATAATATCAGGTGCTCTGTAAGGGTAAGTATACCTGATTTGCCCATTTGTAGTTTTTTTAGGGCTATATTTTGTCTGTTATTCCTCAACTTTTGATTGTCTTCTTGGACTTTTTCCGGTTTTAACGTTGATTTCTTGTAGTTGACCATCTCTGTTTGTCTCTTTACACGAAATATTATTCCAATACAATATATTATTTTCTAAATTTCACAAACCGGAAATCTGTCCATCGACTTTGGAAACGTTTACTGTTTTTAT